GTGGGTCACCAGGGTTGGGTCTTATGGGGTATGTTATCCCTAGCTGCTTTCTGTCTGCTGTGATGTGAACAGGTCTTCCTCCACCTGCTCCTGCCTTCATGCTAGTCTGCTCAGATTCATGGAAGCAAGAGACTAAGGACCTAGTCCTCCAAAATCTTGACTTAAATTAGATTTTTCCTACTTTAAGTCGTTATCTGTTCTGACCACAGAATATCCAAAGTAATTACTACCATCATCTAATGCAACAGTTCTTCATCTGGGGGTCACGACCCTTTCAGGGGAGTCACATAGCAGATATCCTGCATATTCGATATTTACATTATGATTTAGAACAGTAGCAAAATGAAGGAGCAATGAAATAATTTTATGGTTGGGGTGACCACAACTGTATTAAAAGGGTCACAAGTATTAGGAAGGTTGAGAACCACTGAATTTCCAGCAATGAAAACAGAAAGTCAAAACAGTTAATCAGCAGGAAAAAAACAAAAACAAAACAAAAAATACCTGAACAATTCTGACACACTACACCTGAGTCCACACACTGGAGTTGAGACTGAATGACGCACACACGCAAAATTTAAAATTCTGCCCTTGTGATGGTCTCAATCTAGCGATAATGGAACTGAAAAGTATACACATGGCGTTTTAGAAGGGGAATAAACTCTATGGAGAAAAAAGCAAAGAAAAAGGGGACATTTGCATTGCAAAGTAAGAAGTCAGGCAAGATCAAATATCGCCTGCAGACATTTGAACAAAGACTTGGGAGATGTGGGTTACAGAGAAAACCATATAGACATCCAAAGATGAGCAATCCAAACAGGAAGCTGAAGTGTAAAGATGGTCACTGATACACTCAAGGAAAGCCAGGAGCCCAGGAGGAGGAGGAAGAGGTAGGAACAGGATGAACGAGAGATCAGAGGGATCTTATAATTATTGCAAGGATTTGGGCTTTGACAACATCTGAACTGGAAAGCCACCAGAGTGTTTGGAGCAGAAAAGTGTCATGATGTGATGGGTACACATTACTAAAATTTTTATTTTAGGTGCTGTAGAGATGGTTCAGTGGTTAGCTCCTCTAAAGAAGCCACGTTTGGCCGGGCGGTGGTGGCGCACGCCTTTAATCCCAGCACTTGGGAGGCAGAAGCAGGTGGATCTCTGTGAGTTCGAGGCCAGCCTGGTCTACAAGAGCTAGTTCCGGGACAGGAACCAAAAGCTACGGAGAAACCCTGTCTCGAAAAAAAAAAAAAGAACCCATGTTTGATTTGATTCCCAGCACTGATACGATGGCCCACACCCATCTATAAGTGCAGTTCCGGGAATCTGACACCCTCTTCAGGTTTCCGTGGGTACCAGGCACACCCACGGTATACCTACATACATATATGTAAAAATTTTAATTTTATTATTTATTTATGTGTGTGTGTTTGCGCACATTCCTGAGTATACCCACAGAAGCCAAAAGAGGACGTAAGAGTTCCCTGGAGTTAACGTTAGACTTGGTTTGATTGTGAGCTGCCTAGCATGGGTGCTGGGAACTGAACCCAGGTCCTCTTGAAGAGCAGCAAGCACTCTTCACTGCTGAGCCATCTCTCCTCCCCACCCCCACACACAAGTATTTTAAAAGGAAAACCTTTTTCTTTCTTCCTTCCTTTCTTTCTTCTTGAGAATAGATTGAAGAGAACAAAGGCTACAAAAGGATTAATTAAAGGGTCCCTGCAATAATCCAAAGGTTAGGGCAGTCTGTAATGGCCACTGAAGTAATTGAAGTAATTGTGTTCTGGGTTTATTTTGAAAATGAGGCCAAGAAGATATATACATATATACATGGGGTATGTTAGACTGTAAGGGATGAACCTTGACTCCAAGGTTTAGGACCTAACTAATCTGAAAGATGGAGATGAGAGCGACTGCAGACAGGGGATCATGGAGATCCTACTGGGAGCACATTGAGCTAGAAATAAGTATCTACTGGACAGCCAAGTGAAGATGCTGAGCAGGAGGCTGGGTAAAGGGGTCTGAGGCTCAGGGCAGGAACTGTCACTTTCTGAGTCCTCAGTATACACAGAGAGAAATTACAAGAAATGTTCAAAGAGTAGAGAGAGAAGAACAAACACGTAAGGAGCTGAAAGACCAGCAGAGCAGACAGAAGGGTACAGAAGAAAGCAGGGAAGTACATACCGTCCTGGGCAGGAGGAGAAAGAGGGGGCAGCTGGGGCAAGGCTGTGAATGGGTGAAGAGCAGTGAACACTGAGACCAAATGGCAAGGGTGACGTCATCAGAGACCTGACAGTTCCATAGACCTGGGCAGAGTGTTCAGAACTAAAGTGCCATAGGAATGGGCTTAGGAGAGAAAAGTAAAAACATAGATAATATGAACAGCTCTTTTGGAAGTATTTTATTTTAGAGGAAAGAGAAGAAACTAACAATATCATAGACATAATATATAGCCTAAATAATCTACAAAAGGACACACTCAACATTCATATAAGTTTTCCTTTAAAATAGGCAAAACTAGGCTTGCGGTAAGAAGGAAGCAAGTAACAAGTCTGGACATTATCAGGTTATCCTCCATGAATAATGAGTAGAGAGGTATTTGTCTTATAATTAATCGCCCATTGCAATGATTTGCTATATAGTTTAGCAGCCAACAAAATCATTTTATGCATTTCTCTCTATATTTGCCACAGTTCAGATGCTAAAGACCAAGGTCACATGACAACAGACATATCATTGCTGTACTCTAAAATCCACCTAGAAGAGCTGGATGCTGCTCGCTCAGTAGAGTGCTTGCCTGGGAAGCCCTGGGTTTGATTCCCAGCACCCCATAAACAGGGTGGTCCATACCTGTAATCCCAGCACCCCGGCAGTACAGGCAGGAGTTCAAGATCATCCTCAGCTACAAGGTGAGCTTAAGGCCAGCCTGGGCAATATGTTGTTTGTATGTTTGGGGTGTACGTGTGTGTGTGTGTGTGTGTGTGTATGTGGTTGAGAAGGAATATTCTAAACTATAAACAGATCAGATGTAAATAGAAACTCCCAAGCCTGTATGTGTGAAGTCTGGCCAGTAGGTGAGGATTTGCACTTTGCTAATTTAATTAAAATTGGAATTTGTAAATCACATACAATCTTAAGAATTTGAACTGAGCATAAGCTTTTTTTTTCATTTTTAACTCCACAGGACATATTTTTTTAGTATGAATGTTTGCCTCTAAGGATAAAAAAAAGAATGCAATACAGTATCTGCCAAGGGAATTCATTTATTTTGGCTTTTTTTTTTTCTGGATATGTTTAGGTCTTATTTCCAAGACCTCCCACTTGACAAACACAAACCATTTGGTCCTATATTAGTGATCTAAGTGTGAAGCAATGACTGGGTTTTTTTTTTTCCTCGATAAATTCATGGGAGAATAAAGCCTCACATTGCAAAAGAAGAAGGGGGCCCCTGCCAAGCATCACAGCTCCCCCAGCTGTGAATGAACTGGCCTGGGTATGAGCAGCAGATGGTTGCAAAGTCCCAGTTGTTTCACAGACACGCACCAGCAGGGTATCTGAGTTCTAAGACTCCCTGGCTCACCAACATGGAATTCACTTCACTCTGTTCACATTTCAAAGGGGGTTCTACGGGGAAGACAAATGTCTGGCTAGCTGATGCCCTTTCCAGCCTAAAGGCAGCAAAAGAGCTGGAAATACGTTAAAATGTGCTCACAAAGGAGTACTTCAAACCCATTCTGCTCTCCCAGATTGCACACAAAGCATTTGTGGGTGGTAAAAGATTATTTCATTTTAGACCATGCCCAACAAAAAGAGCTAGAAAATCATTCTCTGTCTATCCTAACTGGTAATGTTGAACTCTCAATTTTCAAACCAGTAACGGGAAAATATTGCATGTCGTGATGAAAGCTACTGTCTCATTCTGTACCTGCATAAGTGAGTCAAGGTGTTTGGTTTTTTATCAAAAGTGAAGCAAAAAGTAATGGCATTGATGCTTTATAGTATAAGTGTGTGTGTGTCTGTGTGTGTGTTCCTAATTTCTGGTTGATCTATTTAGTTAACCTCTGCTATTTTCTGGGATCCATTCCAAGACTGTGAAACATATCACTGAAGTTGGCATCTCCGTTATTGAGGTTCTTTTCAGAGGCACTCTGAAGTGGTCTGAAAAACCACTTTTTCTACATTCTGCACACAGCTTATGCTAAAAAGCCATGAGCACCACCCAGTAATTGATGGGAAAGTTACAATTTTTGATCTAAAGTATTTTTTTCCTCCAAATATGCAATACCAAAAAAAGTACTATGTTAAAGCTACACATTTAGGCATTTCTCTTTCTTCTTTCTTTCTTTTTATTTCTTTTGGTTTTCAATGTTGGAGACATTAGCTTAAAGGTACTTTGATTCTGTACGTTAGTGCCAAGGGACTCATTCATGTATAGACTATATATTTCCAAGTTCTTTACAAATGTTTTGTTTTCTCTACAGCTGTTAACTGAAAAATCCTGAAAACATAGATAAGTGCACATAAGAACCCCAACCGCAAGACCATGAAATTAGCAAGACTGACAATTTCAGAAGTCTACATTTTTTTTATAATATGGAGTACACCTGAGCTATTAAGAGTACCTCAGAAAAGATATTAATCCAACCCTTTAAATATAAGCGATGAAGAAACTCACAGAGGTTAGTTTAAGCACACACCACTAGAGATAAATGGGAAACCACAGCAGAACTCAGGTGCTATATCCCCAGGTCCGGAGCCCTGGAGGTGCTCCTGTGTCCCTGCCTTGATACATACACACAGACCCTCTGGGCCCCTCAGAAGCGCTCTCTCTCTCTCTCTCTCTCTCTCTCTTCCTCTCTCTCTCTCTCTCTCTCTCTCTCTTCCTCTCTCTCTCTCTCTCTCTCTCTCTCTCTCTCTCTCTCTCTCTCTCTCTCTCTCTCTCTCTGCCCTCCTCCCCAAGTGTTGTCTCTCCCCAATACCCAGTTTCTTAGATGGCGTCAACATACCTGAGTTTGCAGCAGGATTCCTCAGTCCGATCTGGTTTTTCCCTCACCGCTGCAAATCCTTTTAAAGGAGTGCTCCGGCTGGGGCTCGGCTTGGGGCTTTGGTTGGCTGGCCGGCTGGCTTTTCTATTTGTTTTGTTTTTAATTTGCTCGGGGAAAGGGAAGAGGGTGGGAAACTAAACCCGCCCCACAACACATTTTTTTCCCCTTGTGTCTTTCAAACCAACCCACCCTCTCTCGGCCCGCGGGGCTTAAGGGGTTGCTGTCGCAGTCCCAGGCAGTTTCCAAAGTGGCAGGAGGCCTGGAGAAGTTACACAGCCCTCCGCAGGTGCCGCCCAAATCAACAGCCCAGGTTCCCAGACCTGCTGCGTCCTGCTGCGCAGTCCTGGGCGATCCCGTGCCAGGGGTTCAGGACGGAAATGGGGTCCTGCCTGTGTCGCGGGGTGATGCGAAGCAGGGAGTGCCTGGGTTCTGTGTCGCTGGATCTGGAGGTGCTGGTGACTAGCGCGCGGGCGCGCCGCTCTGGGGCACTGGCCACACAGGTGACCGCGCGGCAGCGGGGACGCTGCGCGCGTGGCCGAGGCCGGCGCTCGGGCGAACCTTGGGCTGCTCCTGTCCTCCCTGGCCTCTACAGCAGCAGGTGTGGGAAATGCTGCACTAATAAACACAAGGACTGGGAGAAGTGGGAAAGGGAAACAGAAAAGACCCTAAACAGAGAAGTCGTGAGCTCCCTGTCCCCCAAAGTGCATCAGTCATCATCTCTGCCTTGCTTGTCCCAAAGGAAGGAGGGCCATTCCTTAATCTAGTTAGTTAATGATCCCCTCGTTTTCCATCCTGGAACTCAATAATATTGATGTAGCAAGTCGGAAAAAAAAAAGTATCTGTCGTTATAGAGAGTCAGATTCCAATATCAAACTACATAAATATTTTGTTGTTTTCTGATCAAAATGTGTATTCATTTATCTATTTACTTCCTTAATGAATGTTTATTAAGAACGTGTGCTACATTACTTTCTTTGAACTTGGGGGAGGAGGACATACGCGTTCATAAGATTTCCAGTTTTACAGCTGATCTGAAGGAAAACGGAGTGAAGATGAAAGAATAAAAATAAGTGGTGATACTTTAGATTGGGCAGATAGCGATACACAAAAGTCTTTCAAGGTTAATTTAACCCGCATCCCCCCCAGGAAGTCCATCAAAAGTGGGCACAGCGAGTGTGTTGCCTGAATTAACCCAGCCACAACAGGGTGGAGAAGAATTCATCCTTCATTATTGGGATGGGTCTTCACCCCAAAGGCAAGTGTCCTAACGATAAAAGGAGAGGACGGCGCAGGTCTGAAGAAGGCAACCTAAACCAAGGCAGACACTCTAGATTGTGCGGCCAGCTCCTGCTCCGATGGATGACCCGTTACGGAAGCTGCCACCCGTGGGATCTGTAATACATCTCCTCTCCATAGACACGTTCTTTCAGGACCAGCGACACTTTTCTGACAAGCACGTGACCCTGCGGACCATATGTTGAAGCCAACTTATCCAGAAATAGCACGAGTACTTATTAAATAGTCTTCATGGACACCTGAGGTAGTCAGCATCAGCCTAGGAAAGCTTACCTTCGGTTTTCACCAAACTGGCAAAAAAGGAAACTGACAAATGTTAGACAGAGGATAAAACTGAAGTGGAGATTTTGGTGTCTCCAGATTATAATTATTCTAACAACACAAAAAGAAACCTTAACAGAGTAATTAAATAATCAACTTAGCATATTCATTTCCTGTGGTTGCTATAACAAATTACTACAAACATAATGCTTAAAAGAGTAGAGATTTATTCTTTCTGCTCGAAACCTCAACAAGTCTGTAGTCTTCCTCCCCGCTTCCTGAGTAACCAGGGGACACTCCAGCCTGCCTCTTCCACCCCTAGATCTCAGGCATTCTTTGTTTGAGGCCACATAATTCCAACGTCTGCCTTTGTCTTATGCTGGTTTCTTTGCTCGTGTGTCTACTGTTTCTATTGTAAGGACAACTGCTTTTGGGGTGAGGACCCCTCCCAGTACTGAAGGGTGATTTCATCTCAACTTCCTTAACTTAATGATGTCTCCAAAACTTGCCTTTTTTCAAATATGGTCATATTCATAGATTCTAGGGACTTGGCCATGGACATTTATTGAGAGGAGAGCCATTAATGAACCCATCACAACAACTACTCCTGAGTGTACACCCACAGGGATCTAAGTCAACAGGCCACAGAGACACTTGCACACCCATGCTAACAGTTGCACTATTCACACTAGTTAAGAAATGGAGTGAGTCTAAATGTCCATCAAGAGAGCGGCGAGGCGGGGTGTGCCTCAGTGGGTCAAGCATGGCCGTGCAAGCGTAAGGATCTGAGTTTAATCCTCAAAATCCATGTGAAAATGGCAGGTACTGGAATCTGTAACCCCAGAACTGGGGAAACCAAGACAGGAGCACCTCTGAGGCTCACTGGCCAGTCTATCCTAACTGGTAAGCTTTAGACCAATAGAAATCCTGTCTCAAAAGGGATGAACAGTGTCCTGAAGATGACATCTAAGACTAACACATACACACACACACACACACACACACACACACACACACACGTACACAGTAAAAAAATTTAAAAAAAAAGAAGAATGGAAAAAGAAAACAGTTTGTATAAAAAATGGTTTATTCAGTCATAAAGAAAAATAAGGTCATGATTATCCAGGAAAATACATACAACAGGAGATCACTATATTAAGCAAAATAAATTATATTCAGAAAACCAAATTAGAAAGAGAGAAAGAGAGAGAGAGAGAGAAAGAGAGAGAGAGATATTAAAGTAGAAAAGAACTTATATGGGAGAGGAGGGAGGAGAAAAGAAACAGAATACAAGCGACATGAGGGAAAGGGGGCGTTAAAGACTGGAAAGGGGGCAGGGAGGGTAGGACAATGGTGGAGGGGGAATGTGGTGGAGAGGGAATGTGGTGGAGGGGGAATGTGGTGGAGAGGGGAGTATGGTGGAGGGGGAATGTGGTGGAGGGGGAATGTGGTGGAGAGGGAATGTGGTGGAGGGGGAATGTGGTGGAGAGGGGAGTATGGTGGATGAGGTGAATGGAAACAGGGCAAAATGGCACATGTGTCTTAAATGCCATGCAGAAACCTGTTGCTTTACATGTTAACTTCAAGAAAAAAATTAAAAACCTGGGCATTATGAAAAAATAACTACCCTAGAAAAAGTACAGAGACCCAAAGTCTCCATTCCGTTGGAGTCTCGTGCATTACTTGAAGGTTAATCACAACCCATTGCAAGCCCCCTCTACTGCAGAAGTGAATCCCACCTAGATATGTCCGTATTTCCGCACCATGTCATTGCACTGAATGTCACCACACCCCTAGCTTTACATTCTAATTAACTGGACCTTTGAATCTCCACCTTGCTGGCACAAGGATTCGTTATTCATCTCAGGCATGGTAAAGAGCTGTGAAGGAATAAATGGGCTAGAAAAAAAATCACAGCCAGTGGGTTCAGAGTCATCCCTACACTGAAGAGCATCTCTATCAGGAGACAGAGTTCACCAGAGCAAAACAGATTAACACCCTGGCTCACTCCATATTTTTTGGAGGGGAGGGAAAAAAACCCATAAAAGGAAACCTAGTGTAAAAAATAAATGAATGTGTTCACCTTTTTTCTCTTTTGAAAAAAAAATCAATAAACTGCACATTTACACAGATGCAAACCCCACTGGGAACAATCAATCGTGGCTGAGCTTACCGCTACAGAAGCTGGGCAAAACACCTTATCCAACTATTTTGGTTGCTAGTTTCAGAGTATAAACAGTGCCTGATTATCGCCTTGGAAATCTTGATGCAGCCTTTCACGAAGCCCTGAACTTCCGTGACCAACTCTCTCCTGGACCACCTCTTTCCTCCTCAGCTTTCCTTCTCATTCTTCACTCTTTGCATCTGAACCCTCAACTAACAGAGATGCAACCACTATGCACTGAATAATCACACTGGGTGACTTACAGGGGTCACAGACTAATCCAGCAACCAAACTTGTGGTCAGTGATTTGGGTTGTGACCACAATCCAGAATGAGTCTCCTGTTGCACGCACGCACACACGCACGCACTCACATGATTAAATTTTATGGAATGAGTACCACATAGCTCTAACAACAAAAGAGTGCTGTTCTTGAAAACTTGAAGGATGTTGCAGTTTGTTTTTTAAAAGAAATTCACTAGTACAATCAATAATGACAAATATTCAATCAAAATCTTAGATGACAGTAAAGGGCCTCTTCTATTTAATTACACTGAACTGCATTTGCTGGGTAAATAATGAAACCATTTCATTAAATAATGGACTCTAAGGCCCAAGTGAACACTAGCAAAGAAATCCTTTTACATAAAGGTGTTTTAAGTTAGGGTCACATGACATGCCAGTAGCTGATAACCGGCAGACCCACTTGAGTAAACAGTAGCTAGTCCCTCTGTCTGTACCAGGAATTCATTTTAAAAGGGGGACGTTCCAAGCACATAATACAAACCTGATAGCATTTGAGCCCAAGATTAGTTTTCCATATTAAACACAAGCAGTGCCTCTAAAACACACTCAGTTCTCAACAGGTTTTAGCAAGGTATTCTAAACAAAATAGCTAACAATCAATGAAAGAAAATAAAGCTTTCGGAGGGAAATTGAAGAATAAGAAAAATCCAAGTTCTAACATAGTTGTGAAACAGGATAATATCAACAAATCAAGTAGCGCTAACTGAGAGGCTGGCGATGACTTCTTTAAGTTGATGATATTCAAAAGCTCTTCTAGCAAGGAGACAGAGACCCACATTGGAGCACAGGACTGAAATCTCAAGGTCCAAATCAGGAGCAGAAGGAGAGAGAGCACGAGCAAGGAACTCAGGACCGCAAGGGGTGCACCCACACACTGAGACAATGGGAATGTTCTACTGGGAACTCACCAAGACCAGCTGGCCTGGGTCTGGAAAAGCCTGGGATAAAACCGGACTCTCTGAACATAGCAGACAATGAGGACTACTGAGAACTCAAGAACAATGGCAATGGGTTTTTGATCCTACTGCACGTACTGGCTTTGGGGGAGACTAGGCAGTTTGGATGCTCACCTTACTAGACCTGGATGGAGGTGGGGGTTCCTTGAACTTCCCACAGGACAGGGAACCCTGATTGCTTTTCGGTTTGGGGGGGGGACTTAATTGGAGGAGGGGGAGGGTAATGGGTGGCGGTGGCAGGGAAGAGACAGAAATCTTTAATAAATAAATAAATTAAAAAAAAAAAGCTTTTCTAGCAATGGTGTTGCCTGTAGGCGCAGAATGAACCAGCTCCTCTGCTGCTCATTACGTATTATAATATATGTTCTATACCATAAGTCTTCTCATTATGTATTATAATATATGTTCTATACCATAAGTCACACATACCGTGTAATATATTATACTCATGCTGTTGCTCTATGAATGCTTTTCGAGTGAGTGCATGTCATGAAAAGAAACACGAGGGGAACAAATACATTTAGAACAAATAACTTCTTATGGTCAAGCCCTGTGCTGTCAGAAACAAATGCTAGGGACTGGAGGGATGAATCAGTGCTTACGAGCATTTGCTGTTCTTGTAGATGACTGGAGGTTGGTTCCCAGCACTCACACTGGTAGCTCACAAATGCCTTTAACTCCAGCTTCAGGGAATTTGACACTGTCTCCAGGCCTTCTTCCGTACCCATATGCACATTCAAATGCTAATATGCACAAACAATAAAATAAAATAAATAGTTAAAAAAACTGTCCAGAGGTGCTGGTACATGCCCTTAGTCCCAGGCTTTGGGAAGGAGAGGCAGAGACAAAGAGAGAGGCAGGTGAATCTCTGTGAGTTCCAGCTAACCTCAAGTGATTGTATGTTCATTTCAGAGTCAAAGGGGCCATTTGAAAACGGCTATACGGGAGTATGTGTCCCTTATTAAATGAGCCCTAGGAAGTAAAACCATTCACATGGTCCTGAAAGGCTGAGGCAGCCCAGCTAATGTTCAGTCTGTTTTCCCACCTAGTGCCCCAATCCATAACTCATTTATTTCATCTAAATCCCTCCCCGTGGGGAATGCTGTTGGCAAGGATACAGAAGAATCATATTCCCTTGGCTGCCTGCCAGGGAAGTTCACAGCCCCTCCTTACACTAAACTAAGTAAGCAACAGGCTGGAGAGGTGGCTCAGTGGTTAGGAATGCTTGCTGCACAGACAAGAAGACCCGAGCTCAGACCACAATACCCGTGCAACAAGCCAGGCTCGGTCCACGGTGACTCCGGCACTGATGGAGCCAGAGGCAGCAGGACTGTTATGGTTTGCTGGTTGCCTGCACAGCTGTTAAGTTCCAGGGTTTGGGGTCTTGCTCAACAGTGAAGTGCTTGCCTAGCAGAGGTGAGGTCCAGTGAGAGCCTCAAAGGATTTAGGTAGAGAATCATAGGAAAGGCCACCTGATGGCCGCCACTGACCTCGGCACATACACAGGCGTGCTCACACACCATACGCGCCACACACACACACAGACACACACACACACACACGTAACATTGTTTACAATTTTGTATTAAGGATGAAAATTATTTCATGCAAGATTAAATATCAGTACCAGAGCATGATTTTTTTTTTCTCCAGGATTCATTAACACCGTTTCAATACTTCATGCTCTATCTTTATATTTGTTGTCTACCCACCAATTCATCAGAAGTGGACACCAACGTGTAAGAAAATTTTATAAACTCACCAAGTCTTACAGGTGAGGCAAATTTATTATTTCATTGCCCCTGAAATAGAGTGAGAAATAAAGTTATGAGAATAAGTATTGAGAACTTGTTCTTGAAAGGGGGTTATACAAACATGGTTGGGCTGAAATGAGAATTCTGCAACTAAATGGAGTTTCACACTGAAACGTTTTTCAATCTATGTCCTTACAGAACTTGAAGTGGCCAATACCTTTGATTTTCCTGATGCTCCATCTGCACACACACACACACACACACACACACACACACACAACAAACCAATTTTCACATAGCATAAAGCATGTTGTTCTCCGCAGGAACATGATGGGATTTGTGAGCGAAGCCCACCAGGCCTATTCACCGGCCAGCCATCCACCTCTCCCCGGCACCAGCCATGGAGGCTACAAAAGCCAAAGCGCTGCTTCCTCCAGGGCTCTGGTTCGCAATTAATGGGTCACGAAAGATGAATTATCTCTTGCCTTGGCCACCGCTGTGACCTTGAGGAACTTTCTCAGGCACTCCCTTCCGCCCCCTCCTCTGTTTTTCCTTGACTCCTAGCACGTGGGTCTAATCAGGCTGCCAAGTGTAGTATCCTGGCGGCACAGGAAGGCCGCACAGCACGTGGCCTACGCTGGACCTGTCTCAGTAACCTCTGCCTGTGACTCCAGCTGGAAGAGAGCATGGGAAAGTGATTGGAGACGGGTCAGTCCAGATTGTTCTCTGAGGCTTTTCCAACAAGATCTGGTGTGAGATACCAAGGTGTGCGAGCCAAGGAGCAAAGAGCTTCCCTGGTCAGCTGCTTAGTGCTGTTTGCCCACACCCTCCTCCAGGTTCAATCAACAGCGGATTAAAAAATATTTTTCAGTTGTGGGCATACCAAATGTGTGTCAGTATTTCCTTGTCATTATCCCTTCGCGGTATAATTATTTATATTATACTGGGGATTCCCACTAATCCAAGACTTGAATATCCACCGCTCTCAGCATATGTGGAGGTATTAGAGCCAGTCTGCGGCTGGTGCAAGAACCGGATACATGTGTGGCCGAGAAGCGAAGCCGAAGCTGCCGGCAGCCAGGTCCTCTCAGTGAAGGCAGCATGAGCTGGTGGGAGACACAGAATTAGAATTTCAGGCCGCATAAATAAATGTCAGATATTGTAACTCTCTATTTTTTTTTCTGGCATATCCGAACTTAATTTCCTCAACAGGATCCTGTTTACCAACTGATAGAAATGGTCAAAGAATTCCAGTTCTTGATTGGTATGTTTTGTTTTCATATCTAACTTCCAGGCAGGGAGGGGACAGCGCTGGTGCGGAGGTCACGGTCAGCATGAGCGAAGGCCCTGATCCCTAGACATCTGTTGAATTTGGCCTCTGCCTCTACTATCTCTGTCTTCTAGTGTTGGTCTACATGGATCCATGCCAAAGGTTACTTGAGACCAATGACTGTCCCTGTTTGCTCGAGGCCTCTCTGAAGAGCTTAGAGACGTTAGAGACGTGTGCTCCAACACACCCTGGGTTGCAGGCACCATGCGAAGGCTCCCTTAGCATGCATGATGTCTGCCTCTTGCTTGGGAATTACTCCTCTTCTCCGAAGCTTTGCTGAGTCGAACTGGAAACAGATCGCCAGGGATGGCAGCCCCTTCTGCTGCACTGAGTCTCTCAGAACGTTTTTCTCCAGACTCACTCAGAACATCTACTGATTCTTCCCCACTGGGCTCCATCTGAGAAACGGACTTCGCCGGCAACTTCAGACTCTGGGTTATGGTTTTATGTTTACCATTCTTGATCTTTTAAAGTGCATCTGAGTTTAAACATCACTGAGTACAAATGCCTACTGAGCGTCACTCAGTGATAGAGTTGTCTCAGGGATGCAGGGCCCTTTTACTCGGGGCAGCATCAGTGTTGCCTCTCTGCTGCCTCTCCTTTCTTCCTAATTGGGACAGCTCTCTTAGTCTTCAGAGCTTGAATTTGGTTTATTATTATTTTTGTAGAGTCAAAGCACAGTGTGCTATATAACATCTCCTTCTGTGGTAATGGTCCAAAATTACAATGGAGTTGTGGGGATACATAAAAGAAAGCGCCAAGGGAAAAAAAGCACACCAGATAACCAAGATAACCCTCCACAGCGGGCACAATGCCCAGCATGAAGCACGTGTCTGGTCCTGGGTTCTGTGTGCCACCCCAAGGGCTTGGCCATGCCTTCTAGAAGCCCAACTCCTCCTCTTCTCCTTGAGTTACCACAGCCACTGCTTCCCTTTTCACTCCCAATCGTCCCAGCCACATTTTTGCCACCCCCACCCTGAAGGATCCCACCCAACACAGCAGGCAGGCCAAGAGGCTGTGGTTTTTATTATCTCCTTGAAATGGATATTTCAACACTCAAGTAGCAGGGAAAGCAGACATGTAGGCGGTCCGCAGAAGCCCTACAATCACTGGGAACCTCCAATAGCTCAGCCTTTCTTACTGTATGTAGACTTGTTATTATTATGCAGTTTAGAACTCAGGGCTAGAATCACCGGTATGCGTCATCACCTTGCCAAGCTGTTCCCATCTTCTTGATATGAGTATTCTTTGCTCTATGACCAATTTTCTCCATGTAGTAGAAAACCTGCTGAAGCCACTCCCAAGTTTTCCATAAACTACTTCCCAACACGAAGTAAAAGTCTGTCTGTACTTAAAGCTTCTTTAATTTGGTTTCCATAGTAAAAATGTAAAAAGAAAGGAAATTGTTGAGTTTATTGATTTTTCTCATGTGAAATAAATAATAGCTGGTATTCAAATTATAACTATGAAACAAAATTCTTATAATTAAGGGTTTTTATTTTATGTGTATGAGTGTTTTGCCTGTGTGGTCTAAGAGCACTACATGCTTGCAGGATCCTCAAGGGCCAAAAGAGGGTGTCAGATTCTCTGGAACTGGAATTACAGATGACTATGAGCCATCACATGGGTGCTGGGGACTGAACTCTGGTCTTCTGTAAGAGCAGCAAGTACTCTTAACTGCTGATTCATCCCTCTAGCCCCTATAACTAAGCTCTTAAAATTCCATTTTGGAAATGCATAAAGAAAAAAACTAAATTTTAAGAGATCACTTTGTATTTTTGTATCACAGAGAAGAAAGGGTATTTAGAATAAAAACCAACAGACTTGCTTCAAAGGTGAAAATTAAAAAATAAGTTTGCAGAAAAAATGTTAATCATGATTTGATATTACAGAAAGGATACTGCATTCTCAGCTTGGAATGATATTAAAGCCAAGGAGACTGATGAGTTCTGGGACATCACCCAATCTTAGGTCACTTCAGCACTCTTGTTTCAATTATAGATTAGACGGAGTTGACATTATGAAACACATTTAGTTTAAAACACCAATGCATACAAAATGTTCAGTGTGTGTTACTTAGTGATGGAATCATTTATAAAGGAACGTTAGTAATTTTTTTTATCATCAAAGGCTTGATCATAGTGAAGATGCAAACAGTTCTGGATATACTTTTAGCCTCTCCCCCATCGGTCCTCTCTATGACCTCCCCCATCGGTTCTCTCTATGTCCCACAAACCTAGAATTTAATCATTGTCACCAAACACCCACACTTCACTGAACCATCCATGAACTGCTTGGTAAAACTCCCCAGTGCCCTCTGGGCCCCTTCCCATGCTGATCCTCTATCAAGTTTCCAATGAAACACAACACTGTGTTTTTGAGATTCAAACAGTGTGTGTTTTAACATCTCCTTCTGTGGCAACGGAAACAGAACACAGCCACTTTGACTTTTTTCACTCCTCCTAGTTTCCCCTGCTACTTTTCCCTTTTACCAAAGGATTATGCAAACAGTGGGACCCCAGGAACCTGAGTGCCCACTGTGACAATCACTGGCAACTGCCCCCAGTTATGCAAGAATCTTGTGGTAAAATGAATTGTGGCTAAAGGCTCTTCATCTTCCAAGTTGGGCTCCCATTTGGATGAGTGGTTCCCAGGCTCCGTACTTCAAAAATAAAATTTAAAAAATGTGTGGAGCACCACCTTGCTCTTGCCAACTCTTGCTTTTGCCAAATAAGGATTTGGAGAAAATAATGTTCTCTACCAACATCACCATGTCAAACTGAAAAAAAAAAAAAAAGGCCCCTTTTAAGTCCAAGAATGCAAATGGGACGTTGCCTTAGCTTAAAAGGAGGCAGGGGACTCATCAATCTCAAGAACAGGAAGCTAATAACTATAAGCTAATTATAGCCATCAATACCCTAACGGAAAATAAATAGTACCTTCAAAGGGTCAGATTAAAAATATTTTAATAAATAGAAGGTTTAAATATATACAGGGACAGGAAAATTACAAATATATATCTAATAGAAGATAACTAAAATACACATACAGAGAAAGAGAGAGAGAGAGAGAGAAAGAGAGAGAGAGAGAGAGAGATAGTTACCTAGGGACTAGCAGCAGCTGGAAGCTGTTAGCCCTGCACAGGCTGAAGAGGGAAGGGAATCATGTTTCCAGGGGAAAATGAGAGCTGGAATTGATTAATAGAGAGAAAGGAGAAGATCAGGGCACAGATATGCATCTGTCATCACCATTCCACCTGAACCAACCGAAAGTCCAAGCAATAGGGTCTGAAGATTGTATTTGGTGGGTCAGGCCCCCTGGAGCAGAGAACAGGCCAGACAAGATGAAAAACGGAGCTCAGCTTCATTAACTGTGGATCTAAACGCCATATGGTGTAGAAAAAATGAATATGGGGATTGACGGGGGAACAATGGCACAACCACTAAAGTTCGATTCAAACTTAAGTAGATGAATATATTTATCATAAACAGTAAGTTAAATAAATGCAAGGCTTTCCTGTGTTCCACCCTGGGTGACGTCACTGCGGCTCTGACTCGGGACGCACAATGTGTACACTTTGCATCATGCACACAACCAAGCACCATTGCCCCAACAAACACCACCTGCCACACCCCAACCCAGATATGATTCTGCGACATCACAGACTGTAGTGTCTTACTGTGCAAATGAAGCTTTCTGCTCCTACAGGAACTTGATACTATAATTATAGAAAAGGAAGACTTCTAATATTTTCTGCCATCATCCTTCAACATGTAAGTTATAAATTAGTGAATCTGTGCTAGAATGTTTGGTTTTAAAATTTGCTGCCTTAGTCGTTAGTTTGATTAACTAACGCATTGTTCAATGAATTTTGGGATTATGGCAGAATTTCCAACAACTTCTGATGGCCCTAAGTACTCTGACTTCTTACACTATGGATTTATTTGAAGCAGCATCTCAGCACCGACAATTATAAAACCAAATTACTAACCAGCTCTGAAATACATTGGTGATGTTCTACACTCAGTATGAAATATTCAGCCAGGATTTCACTCCTTATATATAAACATAAATAAGCCAACCCATCTCCTTTGTGTTCAGTTTTGTTTTCACCTTTAATAAATGGTAAAATTATAAATACCCAAGAATTATTTAAAAGAAATTTCTTTCTTTAAATCTAACTTATTTACTATATACACAGTGTTCTGCCTGCATGTATGCCTGCAGGCCAGAAGAGGGCATCAGATCTCATTACAGATGGTTGTGGGCCACCATGTGATTGCTGGGAATTGAACTCAGGACCTTTGGAAGAGCAGCCAGCCAGTACTCTTAACCGCTGAGCCATCTCTCTAGCCCCTACAATAAATTTCTTTATGATCTGTAAATTTTGAGTTTTATTCCTATGTCACATGCTAATAGGATAACGCAAGTAAATCACAGGTACAAAGAAATCATACATGGAGAAGATTTAGAGAGCCCGGCACTACAGTGTACTGATGGGCTTTGGCAATGGGGGGATGGGGATCAGGCAGAGAAAAGGGTATGCATATAAATGACTTTTTTCTTTTTCATTTTGTTTGTGTAGATCAGCTGATTTCGATCTTCCTAAGGCTGAGACCCTTTAGTACAATTCCTCATGTTATGGTGACCCCCAACCATAAAATTATCTTGTTGCTACTTCATAACTCCAATGCTGCTACTGTTATGAATCATAATGTAAATATCTGATATGTGGGATACCCGATAGTCTACCTCCAAAGGGATGGAGACCCACAG